GGTGTGTGGGGGTGGGGGGGGGGGGGGGGGGGGGGGGGGTCACGTGACCCCACAACTTTTGAGGGTTTTTTTTTATTTTTTATATTCCCTCAATAAAAGCCCTAATTGATATGAATTTAAATTTAAATTTTAATATAAATCAAAATTAACAATTAATTTTAATAACATATTTCATGGAATTTATAAATTTTCAATTTTTATCAAAATTTACAAAAAATTTGATATCAATCTCCATCAAACAAGGACAAAATCACAATAAATTTAAACTTTTTTCATTTTTTCTTACACAAGCCTTCTAATATTTTTAAAATTTGTATATAGTTTCTCTACAAATTATAACATTTACTTCACTTCCTAATCGTATTTTGAACCTAAATTTACATTTTCTCCTATCAAATTGTGTATATAGAATGAGTCTTAAATGATTATATTCAATTTGATTTATATTTAACAAATTGTGTTTATTTGGTTGAATACTAGTAGAGAATATTGGTTATAAATTTTTTTCTCTTTATTATTGGAATTAATTGTTTGTATCAAATACATTATAAATTCTTTAAACGTAAATATACATTTTTTTGTGTGACTTGTATGTGGTTTAGAAGTTGATAAAAGTTGTCGGTTCCATAAAACATGCGATCAAAAATGAATTTTAAGCATTCACTACGCTTATTTTTTAACTCAGAATATCCTTATTACAGAGAATAAGAAGCTCCGGTGCCACTACAAGCATGATAAGTCTGTGTGGGAGTAAGGGGCATATGGAATTTTACTTTTTCATTTTTTATTTTTTCGATGGGTTGGTGGAGATAAAAAGCTATGGAGATGAAGATGTAAACCCTCGGTGGTGAATCAATAGTCAAAATTTTGTTAGGTGGGTAATGGACCAAACTTAGCTAGACAATTATTAGTTTGGAAGAAAAATATACGATTTTATTTGCAATTATAGATGAGTAATCTAGCATTAGTCATACGAAGAGATTTTTAGGCTTCTACTTGGTTTTCAAGAAGTCATATCAAGAAGCATATGGAGGAGATTTTTCAATTGCATTAATATTATGGGAAGTACTACATGTACATAATTGTCTACATAATGTTTTCCATAATTACACGTGGTACTGGATCCAACCTTTAATTCAAATATCATATTGCACATCAACAATCGGATGATTGCTACATCACATTATGGACACCATTACGCGCAATAATTATGTACAAGTAGAATTTTCCTAATATTATGATGTACTTGGTAGACTAATCTAGATAACATCAAACAGTTTTAAGTAAGAATTTTGTTCCTAAAAGACAAACTTGCAATTGAAAAATATGGGATAGTGATTTGATATTTTTTGGAAATTATGTATTTGTCTCTTAAGCTGTTTGCATTGTGTACCACAAAATAATTAAGTTTTCCACCATGGCATAGCTTAGATAAGTTTCACTATGGTAGTTGGACAGTTTAAATTTTGCTTCTTTATCCAAGGAAGATCCAAATTAATTATAACTTAACTAGATTTATGAACAGTTATAGAAAAAAACTTAATTAATAAATGGATCTACAACTATCAATTTATGTTTTTAAATGAGGAATTAGATGTTTTATGGACAAATTTTGAATAAAATTTCGTCTTTACTTAGAACTTGTTTGGTACAGCTAAAAAGCCAATTAAAATTAATTTTTTAATCGCTATTTCACTATTACAACCGTCATTTTGAATTCTTCTCTCACATGTAAAACTCACTTTACCTCTAATGTTCAAAAAATCAATTATCAAAATCCCTACCAAACAAGCACTTAAACAAAAAATAAATAAATTGTATACATGGATGACTCAATGAATATTGTCTGGGTATGAAATAGTTTAAATCGAAGACATAATATTTTGTGTAGTGAGGTTTTGAAGACGTATCAATTATTTTGATTTTCAGGAAAAGTAGTATATCCAGACAAAACAACAATGAGTTTCAAATCAATTATCGGACATGTCGATAATCGTCGAGAGCTAGACGACAAGATAAACGAGGAGACAAAAGATACAATGCTGCACTTTCTATGATGGCTGCTAAGGTATCTTACGAGAACAAGGCTTACATTGAATCTACGGTCACGGAATACCGGAAGGTACATTATTAAAAATTCTTCATTGCTTTTAACCTTCACACGCCTTCAAAAAATTTTGTGACCTTAAATTTTGTTTCTAACAATTTACATGATTTTCACGTACTTAAGCATTCAATGATGAATATGCCAAAAATTATGTTCATTGACCATTTAAAATATAATATTTTAAAAACAATCATAAGATAATCGTGTTAATTTTATATGACCATTTTCAGTTACAATGATTATAAAATATAACTTCGTGTTTTGTTTAATTAAAAAAAATTTGATAAATATTTATGTTTAAAGTCAACAATTAATATTAGCCACACATTTTATAGACTCACAACTTTTTTTAATTTTTCAACCACTTAATTTTTATCAAAATCTATTAAAAACTTAAATTTTAACTAAATTAAATAGGGACTAAATATAAAACTGTTTGTAATAATTTCACGTCGCCTTTTTGCCATTGTAGAACCTAGTTAATAGTATAGTTTGATACTTGAATTGTTGTCAAATGTCAATCGGATGGAAAAACTATTTGAAATTTAAACCATTCAATAGAGTAATGCCATGTGGCAAAGCCTAAATTAAAGTGCATACCATAGTGTACATGTAGCACGATTTTTCCTTTTAATGCGGCTAAGATTATTTCAAGATTTATGGGCAAAAAATATTGCTTCTCCAAAATAAAAACTGTGACTTCAATGGTTTGGCCGTGGAAAGAAATCCAATAACAGACGATAAAAAGTAGAGAAGAATAAAAATATTTAGATTATTGTACGTCTAATTATTTCCTCTCCTTTTTCTCTCTACAGATGGATTTTTTGGGTTCCTACGATTTTTGCAACGGTGATCATCTGACCTATTTCTCATGATATTAAATAATTTTTTAAGTTCATGAAATTCCTTTTTGTAATTATATTAATGATTAAACATTTTGAATTTTGGCAGATTATCAAGAGAAAGCTACAACACAAGCTATTATGTTCAATGACCAAAATGATAAAATCGTAGTGGCTTTCAGAGGCACCGAACCCTTTGATGCCAATGCTTGGTCGACCGACTTCGACATATCTTGGTATTGTTTAACCACATCATCTAAAAAAAGTTTTATTTATTAACAAGGGAACAAATGAATTATTTAATTAATTTAAAAACACACCCACATATCAGCTAAATTCAATTTTATTGAAGGTTTGACTCTCATAGAATTTCCAAAGAATGATGCGAGTGAATCTAAAGGCGCGTTTGATTGCAATATATCTTAGAATTTGCATGGGAAAAATAAATTCTAGATAATTTAATTGTCTAGAATTTATTTCCATGGAAATTGTAAATTAAATGTGTTTGATTTATTTCATTTTCAATCTAGAAAATATTATATTTGTTCGTTTTTTATTGGTGAGTAAGTGAGATGGAGTTGATAGATGAGAGAGAGAGAAAAACACATTTTCCATGAAAGATATTGATAATAAAACATAAGCGTTTGTCTTCTATAATACCATATTCAAATTACCTTATCTAAAAATTTAAACTATTAAAAATGATACACCTTTTTTTATTTAAATTGGTCATCTACATAAGCTCTCACATTCACACACAAGTTTATTTAACACACGCATAATTTGTATAAATGGGAGAACAATGAAACTTAAAACCAAGGCATTTGGTTACTTCGATATAATGTTGAACCATCTTCTCTAAAAATTAAAGCAGTTAGAAATTATACAAATTTATTTATTTAAACTACATCTTCAACAGGTATGGGATTCCAGGCCTTGGAAAGGCTCACGGCGGATTTATGAAAGCTCTGGGGCTGCAGAAGAACCAGGGCTGGCCCCGAGAACAGGCGGCAGATAAGAAACAAGAAGTAGCCTACTATGTCATTAGGAAGATACTGAAACAACTTCTTCAGAAAAATGAAAAGGCAAAGTTTATAATTACTGGCCACAGTTTGGGTGGTGCATTGGCAATTTTATTTCTAGCAATTATGGCGTTCCATCAGGAGACATGGTTGCAAGAAAGATTAGAGGGGATTTACACATTTGGTCAGCCAAGAGTAGGAGATGAAAATTTTGGAGAATTCTTGAAAGAAGAATTAAGAAAATACAACATTGATTATTACAGACTTGTTTACTGTTTTGACATGGTTCCTAGATTGCCTTTAGATGATTCCACCTTCTTGTTCAAGCATTTCGGGACTTGCGTTTACTATAATAGCTTCTACCAAGGAAAAGTAAGTTTCTATTCTTTCTCGACTACTTTTCTCTCAACCCTTTTTTCGTCTTCGTTATTATTTCAAACAAATCAACTAAGAATTAAACTATAATAGTTATATCTTCGAAATTATTTCCATTGTTATCCTTGTAAGATAAGTATAATTGATAAGTTAAGAATCTTTTTTCTGTAATTTTTACACAGATTTTGGCTGAAGAGCCAGACAAGAATTATTTCTCTCTTAGATGGCTTATACCGAAGATCATAAATGCCATCTGGGAGCTAATAAGAAGCTTTATTATTTCATATACAAGAGGAGCGGACTACGAAGAAGGAGGTCTTCTTCGATTACTTAGGGTGATCGGCTTGTTAACTGCAGCATTACCGGCTCATTGTCCCCAAGATTATGTTAATGCTACAAGATTGGGACCATCGGAAGTTTATCTCAGTGAACTTTCCTAGCTCGCTCGATGTGATGAATACAGACTTAATGGAAATTATTTTTGTTGATTTATAAAAGTGGTGATTTTGTTCATTAGAAATTAAGCTAGAAGAGATTCGTGAATAATGGTACTCTAATATAATTGTTTGTCTTTGGATCTTGAAGAAAAAAATATGATACTTTTGTAATAATAAATATTCAATTTGGACCTCCCAAGTAGCCATCAAAAAACCTTCAATTCTGATGCCAATTATTATAATTTGGACCATACCTGAAACCACTTAGTCGAAAGTGGAACATTCCTTATACCAATTTATTGAGAATCCGACCAAATAATTGCAGAATGAGAATAATATGAACAATATGAAAATAATGTATCACACAACAAACAAATTTTTTGTGGAAGAAAAGTATAATTTACTATATAATAAACTAAAATTGTCTTTACAAGATTTAATTCTCTCAATTTAAATCTAAACAATTCTCTCAAATTTCTAATGTATGCAATAGTGATTCAATTGTTATGTGGAGTCATATTAAATAGGCTACACCTCGTAAAGTATTTAATTATAGGAATAAAATCTTGGAGTTATACATAAAGTAGAACAAAAAAACAATGTCAAAAACCAACTAGGAGTGAAATTATTCCCGAACAAGCGGCGCTGTGACACCACCCACCCGGTGCCCCAGTGCTAACCTTGTTACCGCCCTTGCGCTCTGCTATCGCCTAGGCGTCCCATTTTGGATCCAATACTTCCAAAACACTTTTTCGTCCATTCGAAAGTTCTAATCCCAATCAAGCTCTCAATTCATGATGAAATTTGATCTCTTATCTATTAGGACTTCTAAAACAAAATTAACTAGGCTTCTTCCATGAAATACACCAAATCACATGGAATTTAAGTCACAATCTAACAATTTGGTTTTTGTAAGATATTGTACTCATTAATTTAATCGGATCAAGAACTAGAACTTTACCTAAGGTTGGACAAAATTCTTGAACTGACCCAAACTGGACTTGAACCAAATCGAGCGGTTCTTCTTAAGTTAATACCTAAACGAGTATTTAAATTGAGAACTTACAGTTCGGTTTGATATGATTATCATTTCTAGATAAAAAACCGAATAATTGAATCTCTTTAATTTTTTAATATATTTATTTTAAATAAACCAAATTATTTATTTTTTGTAAATAAATTTGATAACTAATTAATTTAGCTCAAACCCAAAAATATGATTTTCCTAATTCTAATTTTCAGTTCAAACCCAAATTAATCAAATAGATCGAAATTTTACCCAAATCTGTTATTATACCGTTATAGAGAAATCGAATTAAAGCTCGATTGCGCCTCTTATTTATTGTGAGCTCATTATCTCTATTTTCCTGTGATTTTAATAATCAAATATATGAAGAACTCAACAAAAGGGAACACAAAATATCCATAAAATTGGACCACGTTATTTTGTAAGAGCTAAGATTGAATGTGTCATTAGTTGAAATAATATAGCTTTGTAAATAGTAAAAATTTAATTATAGTATGGAACCAAAATGAAATCGAACCAGTGTTCCATAATTAAATTTGGAACCAAAGGTTCTACTTATTAAATATCCGCAAATTTTAGGTTCCAAACCGAACCATGTCTAATCCTAATTTTTTCTCAAATCTAACCATAAAATCTAAGAAAGTGGGTCTGAAATTCATTGGACAAAGTGGTCTGAATAGCATTGTTCTATTATTTAAAAAACAAAAGAAAAAACAAAACTGGGATATCAATTGAGAGGATTATGTGAAATAACATTTGTTAATAACCGCAAAAAGATAGAATAGAGAATTTAGTCAAGGTGAGGAGTCGTGTGGAGAAGAAAATTTCAGAAGCCTAATTCCAAGAGGCAGAGTGTACAGTAAAATAAAAGTACAAATTTTGTGGAGATGCCCCCGGGGCGATTCTCATACCTCTTGCATGCAAAGAGGGCACTCTACCATTTGAGCTATTTCCCCGTGATTTCTTATTCACAAATCAATTAACATAAATTATCCACTCAAGAAACAAGAAATCTCAATTTTTTGGCGGAGCCAGCATGGGCGGGCCTTGGTTTCGCCAAGCGATAGATCCGCCCTTGCTCACAATTCAAATATTCCAATGCGTCATCCCTTAATGTGTATGAAACAAACCATAGTCTGATTGCATCATTCTGTGCAAAAAGGATTATGTGAAATACATTTATTAATAACAGCAAAAAGATAAAATAGAGAATTTAGTCGAGGTGAGAGTCATGTGGAGAAGAAAATTTCAGAAGCCTAACTCCCAAGAGGCCATAATGTACAGTAAAATAAAAGTACAAATTTTGTGGAGATGTCCCCCGATCCTCGTACCTCTTGCATGCTAAGAGGGCACTCTACCATTTCAGCTACTTCCCCGTGCTTTATTATATGCAAATCAATTAACATAAATTATCCACTAAAGAAAAAAGAAAATCACAATCTCAATTTTTTGGGCTGAGCCAGCACGGACGGGCCTTAGTTCACCAAGCGCTGGATCTACCCTTTCGACCATTCAAATGCGTCATTCCTTTATGTGCATGAAACTAACCATAGTCTGATTGCATCATTCCGTGCCCCTTGAAATTTAAAATTTTGGCACATCTGTAGAAATATTTTGATATGGGTGTCTGGATTTCCATGTGTCTTCTCATAAAACTAAAGATTTTTACTGAATAGATTGATCTGATCTTCTCTCAATTGAAAATCATTTCTATCAAAGTCAAGATATACACTGGTTGAGCATTTAGGATCCGCTGCTAGAGTAAAAAAAAGTAAAAGAAAGCAAATGAAGGTGTCCTTTTCAAATTTTTGCTCTCTGATTAAGCGTTGTTATTCACCATATCAACGCATTACCACCTTTAATCTCACTTCCTAAGTTTGAGTCCAAAAATTATTACTTCACTAATCAAAATAAATTTACTTTCTTGAGTCCAAATCAATCTTATCTAGCTAAATAAACTTACTAAGTCTTAATCGAATGCACTAAATCACTTAGAAATTCAATTAAATGCCACAACAATAGAAATTTATTTCTCTACCTTTTACCTAATTGTCGGGTTTTACTACACGGTCTAAATTATAACTTATCTCTCATTTGTTATAATCTACAAATCATGAATTGGTGATAAAGTACTCCAAGCATGAAGAAAAAAATATAAATTCAAGTAGGGCTGGGCAAATCTCCCGAACCGAACTGACTGAACCGAACCGAACCGAACTGAATCGAACCCAACGGTTCTTGTCAAATTAAATACCCGAACGAATATCTGAATTGAGAACCGACGGGTACGGTTCGATTCTCGGTTCTAGACCAAAAATCGAAAAACCGAATAAGAACCGAATCTTTCTAATTTTTTTTTATATTGAATAAATCAAATTATTTTAATTTTAATTTTTTCTAAACAAATTAACAATTTCTAAATCCAAATTTTTGGCTCAATAATTTTTTTCATTTCTAATTTTTTTTTTAATTTTTGGCCCAATTACCTATTTTATTGTTTCATTTCTTAGCCCAACAAAATCCAATCCACTAAATAACCTTAAACACCTACACTAAAGTGCATAACGCTATCTCGACTCTCGCACTCACTCTCACAATCTCGCTGACATTCCAAAATCTATAAAATCGTCGGCCAACGCCGTGACCTCCAATCGAAGCTGTGACTTCCACCGATTGAAACTTTGACCGTAGCAATCACTTGAATAAGGTAGTCTACTAGTCTCTGATATTCCAAAACTATTGAATGTGTCATTAGTTGTATTTATATAATGTTGTTATAAATGTTACAAATTTTAATTATAGTACAGAACCGAACCGAACCGAACCGAATTGAACCGAACCCGAACGGTTCCATAATTATATTTGGACCTGACGGTTCCATTTACTAGATACTCGAAAATTTTGTTTCGGTTCGGTTCTCTTTAGAATCGAACCGAACCGACCCGCGCCCACTTCTAAAATCAAGGAACAAACAAATTAACTGCGATAATATTGATAATATTGAGAACTAAAATTATAGGTTTAAATTTAGGTTTCATTGTTTGTCCTATCTAATGATTTAGCTAAACATCACAAAGAAAAACACAAAAATGGATTTTAGAATACATTTCTGAGTTAAAAGGAAAAACAAGAAAAATATAAACTTCTTGCACTAAAAATCCGTCTTATTCACATCAAGTTCTTGAAACCCTAGCTTTCCTACTCTCTGTCTTCTTGTATCCTCCTCATTTGATTTTCTGTTATATCCCCCTTGTTTTGACCTAAATTAGGCTTTTATATAACGATCGTAGGGTCTTGAAGTCGTGTCCTCAAAAAGGACTAAAATACCCTAAGCTTATAAAACAATGATTGGAAAAACATATGAACATGCTGCGACAATTTTTTTTCGACCATGAACTTGCCGCAGAGGTTCTCCTTGTGATAGTGGCCGTCTACGGTCTCCCCTACAACTTTTATGTTTTTACAAATTTTGTCTGTACTTCAAGTTTTTCGTATGGTTTTGGTCCATATCTTCAGTATTGATCTCGCAACTTCCAGAAACATCCAAGCTGGTCCCCCAGCCAGTCATAATCATCCAAAACTGGTTGTTCTCATATCCTGAAAGTGTGTAAAGCAGTCCCCAAACATTTAATAAGTTGAATTTCCCTCTCAAAACTCCAATTTCTCTCTTAATACTCCATATCAATCGTAGTACAATTCGATTAGTCTTCAATTCTACGAACTAACTTCAATTAGACTCAAAATCTTCATTTTTGCTTCAAGTGCCTCCAATTCTCAATTTTACCTATGTTGATAACATCCACACTAAATTTAGAATAAATAAATAAATAGTACATCACTAAATTTGCAACTATAAATCAAGCTTATAGCACAAATAAATGTGTAAAAATACATTTATCATAAATCTTGGAAGAGATACATTATTCAAAACTTAAAATAAGTAAGAATCTGATAATTTTTTAAAAAAGGGAATGAG